AAGCATGCAAATAGTTGCAGCCACAGTCTCTTTCTAAACTGTGGAAAGACAAATCACTTTCCCAAGAGGAGTTATAAATTAGGGGCTTTCCATGCTGCTAGGTCAGCACTGAACCACACATATGGGAAGCAGAATCTGAACTAATGAGGTAGAACATTGCAGAGTTTGTGCAGTGTGCCCTGTATGAACAGTGCCACCTGCACTAATCCTACAAATCCTACAGTCTGCTGTACTGAATAATATAAATTGGTGTATCTCAACTTAGATGCAGCAACCCTTCAAGCTTGGAAAGAGGCACTCTCCATATTCGATATATATTTATTATGCCCTAACTATATTGTGAAACATTACTTCCAAATATATGCCTTCAGGACTATGAAAGCAGATTTAAGACATTGTTTTTTTCTTCTTCCTGCACAAAGAATCCCTCTTTATAGTTAACCTGTCATCTGTGAAGTGCCCATAAGTAATGGCAACACAAGTGTTCCTAATATTTTTTAAAACAAAACAAAACCTAAAAACCCCCTACATCTGCTTAAATGTTTAGAGAGAAAAATAACTAAGAAGGGCTGATGGAATAAATCCAGTGCTATTATGTTCCAAGATGTGGGTGAAGAAAATATGCAAAATGATACTTACATTTATTTAGGACTTTATCCCCGAAAGCTCTCAGTAAGTGCTACCGCTATTAAGATGCAAACATCTCATGTCAGCATTTTTGCACTGGGCACTTAAACCAACCTCACCACAGCATAACTTGAGTTAATCAATAACAGACTATAGGGGTCACTGAGCATTTTTGGAATTTAAAAAATAACTTTTCAAGGGTTGGGAAATAAAAGGTACCACTGCCCGTACGGGCCAGTCTTGACAGACTCTAGGGTTGTGCACTCATCTCACTCTAGAGGCCGGGAGCCAGCGCTGTCCGCAGTCACTTCCGGGTCACGTGGCCAGCGTGACGAAGCTGCTCTGGTGAACCGGCACCAGAGCAGCACACGGAAACGCCGTTTACCTTCCCGCTATAAAGCGGTACCTATTTATCTACTTGCACTTAAGGGTGCTTTCGAACTGCTAGGTGGGCAGGAGCTGGGACCGAATGACGGGAGCTCACCCCGCCGCGGGGATTCGAACCGCCGACCATGCGATCGGCAAGTCCTAGGCGCTGAAGTTTTACCCACAGCGCCCGCGTCCCCTAACAACAATATATGGAGCTATTAGTTCAAAAGCAGTAGAAGATCACTGTTCCTGTTTACTGATAAGAAAGTGAGTGTGCACAGGATTGCCACATCTTACTTTTTGAAATATTTTTCTGTGACTATTGCTTTCTTTTAGTTCAAGAGAGAGGAAAGAACCACTAGATTTTAGATTAAGATATGTGATTTTTAAAATGTCATAAAAAATCAGTTACATAGCCTTAAAAAATGTTTTTAGGCTGCAATCCTATGACAACTTACCTCAGCGTAAGTTCCACTGAAGACAATGAGACTTATTTCTGAGTAGACATGCATATGATCTAGATGCTATACTCCTATTGATGAGGCCCAGAATTGCATTGGCTTTTTTAGCTGCCGCGTCACATTGTTGGCTCATGTCAAGTTTGTGGTCAACCAAGACTCCTAGATCCTTTTCACATGTACTGCTCTCAAGCCAGGTGTCCCCCATCTTGTATTTGTGCCTCTCATTTTTTTTGCCCAAGTGCAATACTTTACATTTCTCCCTGTTAAAATTCATCTTGTTTGTTTTGGCCCAGTTCTCTAATCTGTCAAGGTCGTTTTGCAGTGTGATCCTGTCCTCTGGGGTGTTAGTCACCCCTCCCAGTTTGGTGTCATCTGCAAATTTGAGGATTGTACTGTTAAAGTAAAATCTGACCTACATTAAAAAACCTATACATAACCATCTTAAAACTGAATAAATGAACCTCTTTCAAATGCTTGTGTTAAAGGCTGGCATGGCTCTATCTATGAGAAAATATTGACAGAGATAAAGCATTTAAAATTACACATTCACATATCATAGGTGATATTGTAGTAAACTCTGAATATTTATTACTAATCACCCAAACAGTCTAGTCATATGAGCACATCTTTTAGTCTTACTAAACTCACTTTGACTGGGTTATCCCCTAACATTTCAACCTGTTATCAAACTATTTTTTGCCCTGGTGTCTATTTTTAGAAAGTTCTGGACATTTAGTTATTACAAAGAGCCAAACAAAAATTGCCCTGTTTCACAATTGTCTGTTTGTCTTGCTTCCAAGCATGTAGTTTTATAGTGTAAAAAGTATGTGGATTATATGTCCAAAGTTTTTGGATTATACTTAGGTTGTATAAAAACTCTATTCAGTGGCAAGCAAATTACCTGCTACAGCAACCAATTAGCATACATGATTTGCTTAGGAAATGTAAGATTTATACAATAGATTTCCCCCCTTACTAATTTAAATCAGTCCACCCTAATCTCAGCAGTGGAACTAAGTAACTAGCCAGTCCATAATTTTATTTATTTATTTATTTAGAAAATTTATCAGCCACTTGATCACAACAAAATTATTCAAGTGGTGTACAAATAAAATTACAAATTAAGCATAACTAAAACCCACCAACCATTTCAAATCAAATATACATAAAACCATCATTAAAAAACCAAAGATAAAATTAATAAAACTTTAAAAACAGATACAACTAACATAATGTCTGGATAAGCTTGTTGAAACAAAACACTTTCAGCAAACTTCTAAAAAGTATAGTGAGGGTCTGTGTAGTGTCAATAGGCAGGGTGTCCTAGTGCGCAGGTGGTGCCACATTAAAGGGTCACATTGAAAGCACATATGATTGTTCCAATACTATTACTATCTTAAACACAACTCACTAAAAGAATCCTTCTGAAAAACAATGCTTGCTTTACAGCCAGGAAAACCCACTAATCATGAATCTGTGTTGAATAATGACACTAGTGTATGGTTACTTATATTTCCAATGGAGGGGGCCTATGTAAATAAAAGCTCTAGGGAGCCTGAGAAAACCCCATGAGAGGAGTCGCATTCTTTCTTTTCAGCTAGCCTCATGGTACATTTTCACATTAATAACATTAGATTATCCTAACATGATACCCTATGGTTATGTTACAGTACATTTGTCCCTTCTATTAAAATGACGCAAGGCTCCTTCATCACCTGGATTGCTACTTCATGTAGCAGCTACAATGAGGCAGCTGTCTGATCTAGAATTAATTTCAACAGGGAGCGCTGATGCACACACGCAAAGGAATGTGCACACAGGTAAATTCCTTCAGCTGAAATGTATAAGAAACCTGAATCTCTCTGTGGCATCAGAGCTCTTGCACCTGGAACAGGCCACTATCAATGACTACATTTTTTAATGAATGCATCATGCTAATTATGTTACTTGCACATAAATGAGAATTGTCACTTAGCTCTGTCAGCTTATTTTACATTAACAATTGTATTGTTGATTAATCATCTGCCTATTAACCAACAAACTGCTTTAATCTCTTCAAGTTTCCACACAATTCCTTAACATAAACATATGTTTGCAATAGTGGAGGAAGTGTAGGAGAGCACACAACTTTTTCAGCAAAAGCTACTGTTCACTAAGTATGCTCATAACTTACAAGCTCAAACCAAATAATATTTGCTCACTGATGCATCTACTACAGCTTTACTTTCTGATATTCAGATGCTGCTTCTCAGTGCTGAGGAAGTCAATTCTGCAGAGTCCATTACTTTTATATCCCATCCATGGGCATAGCCAAGGGGGGGCACCTGCCCCTCCCATCAAGTAAAACAATAGAAATACTTAACTAGCTGACCAATCACCTCGGTTCTGCCCCCCCCAAGTCCTGGTTACACCCATGATCCCATCTTTCCTCCAATGAGCTCAAGATGGGGCACATGGTTCTCCTTGCCCCTTTCATTCTCGCAACCCCTGTGCAGTAGGTTAGGCTGAGAGATGCAACTGGCCCCAAATCACCCAACAAGCTCTGTGGCTGAGTAAGGATTTAAACCTGGATTTCCCAGTCCTAGTTCAGAACAGTAATTGCCACACTACAAAATTCTGCCACCTGGCTCTACTCAACCTATCTCTACTATCAATTAAGATGTACAAGTGGGGCATGCTGTGTCGAGTCTGCCTGTTAAGTCATGCTCTCATCCAGGATATACAGTTCTCTTCCCTTCCTTCCAAAAGTCAGCCAGCGTTTTGTGGCTGTTCATTATTCACTGGGTTCTTTCCCCATGCCACACCCAGAGTCGTCGTTCCTGAAACTTTTTTGTGCTTCTGCAAAAGTACAGAAATTCTCCTAAGCCTGCTGTTACCTCCCTTTTGTGCATGGCTGGCAGCATTTTGGCTACATAAGGCACCACAGTGAAATCATTGCTATTAGTGCACATAAAGGATATGCAAAACTCTGACATCCCACCCCTAATATAAGTACTTGTGTCAAATACTGATTGGGAGTCAGGTACCACAGAGTGGAAGGGACCGTGAGGGTCACCTAGTCCAAATCCCTGAAATACAGTAATAATTTACCCAATGTGGGGCTCAAACCCATGACCATGAGATTAAGAGGCTCATGCTCCACTGAGCTATCCCAACTGTGACTGATTGGAAGTCAGGTAGCATTTAACTTGTGTGTTTAATACAGCCGTAGTCCCGGCAAACTTCTGCCAATTTTAATGCATTATTTATTTCATAGGTATTAAAAGGCCAGGCTTTTTGAGTGTGTCATCTGCCACACTGCTGCAGATTAGCTTAATAAAAGTTAGAATTGGAGCAGTAGGATGAGGCAGACCCTGCCAGTTCCTTAGAAGACACAGTGCACCTGCATAACATATTATTATTTCAACCTGGCAGCCACAGTGGTGCATCAACCGCTCTGCTGGCGAGAGCCATGTTTTTGCAAGCCTGATGTATATTCCCACTGGAATGGCCTTTTTGTCTGTGCTTACTTCGGGGGAAAGGAATTAGGTTCTCCTACAGGGGATCAGGTATTGGCGAGCTTCCTGTCACCTGGGCGAGGGAGGCAACGCCGGCGCGGCGAGCAGGAGCAGGAGTCGCGATCAGCTTACAGCGGGGAACTCGGATGAGCTCCTTCACACAGGCACCAAGGGCGAGGGAGGATCCTCCACGCCCCTTCACCCATTGTCAGGGCCACCTCGGCAGTTTCCGCTTGCGCTTCGGCTCCTTTCGGCCGGCCACCCTCCGCCCTGTGGGAGAAAGACGGGGAGCTTCGGCAGCGCCGCCGCCGAGCCTTCCGGGACTCGCTCGAGAGTTCAGTGCACTCACCTGGGAGAAGCGGCGATCTCCGGCTCCGCCGCCGGCTCCTTCCTGGAAAGAAGCATCAACCACCTGATTGAACTCCTCGCGGGTCAGTATAGAAACTCTGCTCGGACGAGCCGTGCAGACTGGGCGGTGGGGTCGGGGGAGAAAAGAGATAAGGAGAACTTGCTGCTCATTAAAAGGCAAGAGACTTGCGCGCGCCGGGGAGGTGGGGGAAGGAAACTAGATATATATTTTGCCTGGGTTTTTTTTTTTTTTTGTACTTTTGCAATCGGGATGGGAAAGCAGTAGATCTGCTAACTCCGGCAACTCTGCACCCAGTAAACAGGGGGTGAGTGAGAGAGTGATATCTGAAAATATCGGCAAACTTATGGGGCAGGCGGGGGGGGGGTGTTAACCATAGGAATCCCTGGATGCATCTGTCCAGGAAGCTGGATGGAACGTTAGAAGCTGATAAGATTCCCGAGTGGCGGATAAACGGGGGGGGGGGGGGGAGGGAGAGAATAGCAGAAAGTAAACTCCCGGCGGGGTGGCGGTGGCGGCCGGGTGTTTGACGGGAGGGGCACTCGCTAAAAAGGAGGGGGGGTCTACAGAGTGCAGCTGAGGATGCCGCCTCACTCGCTCCCGCTTTTGTCTCCCGCAGTGTGTGTGTTTGGCCGCGCGCGGTGTATCCTGCTCACCCCCCGCCGGCGCCTCCTCTCGTCAGCCGCCAGCCAGCCCACCGGCTTCTGGAAGCTTGTCCGCGCCCGGGAGCGAAGTTAAAGGGGGCGCGAAGTTTCCCGCAACTTTCTCTCACCCCCCACCCCGCGCCGGGAATATGGCCACCGGGGGCTACCGGGCCGGCGGCGTCACCACCACCACCACAGACTTCCTGGAGGAGTGGAAAGCCAAGCGGGAGAAGATGCGGGCGAAGCAGGCGCCGACAACGACGGCCGCGGCCTCAGGGGACTGCAAAGCCCCCGGGGCCGCCGCCGCCGCCAACAACACTACTACTACTACAACAACAACTACTACTACTGCTGCTGCTGCTAACGCCGCCGCCACCGCCGAGGTCAACAACAACGGCAGCGGCGCCGGCACGAACTGCGTCCCTGTGGGCAGGAGCGCGCCCAAGGAGCCCCCGCCGAGCACCCCGGCGGCCGGAGCCCGAGCAGGAGTGGCGGAGCCGCCGCCGCCGGGGCCCAAAGGCGTCGTGGCGCCGGGCTCCCCTGAGGAGGAGAAAGTGGCGGCCAAGGGCAAGGGCTCGTCCGGCCCCAGCGCCCGGAAAGGGAAAGGGCAGATCGAGAAGAGGAAGCTGAGGGAGAAGAGGCGCTCGACAGGTGTGGTGAACATCCCCACCGCTGAGGTGAGAGGGCGCCGCGCGCCGAACTGCGGGGCGCGGGGGGGGGGGAGAGACGGGACCGCGCGCGTGACTGGCTCTTTTGAAACACAGCCCAACGGACAGCCCAACGGCTCCCGGTGCTGCTGCTGCTGCACCTGATGAAGAGCCGGGCGGCTTCCTGGGCGACGGTTGCTCCTCCTCCCCGCTCCCTCCGAGGAGCTCGCCAGGGTTGGTTCGACAAGTCAAAAGGGAGGAGGCTGTTTACCTACAGGCTGCTGCTGCTCCCGGGAGGGGATGGGACTACTTCAGGTTGCAAAACCCGCAAAGTGCCCTGTTCCGGAAGAGTCAGACAAGAGATGGCAGCCTAAGCTATGCAAATTGGATCTGGGTGGATTTAAATGTGGAGGAGCAGCAGCAACAGCCCTTCAGGTGGTTTCTGTGAGGTTTTACCTGAGAGAGAGAGAGAGAGAGAGAGAGAGAGAATGGCTAAAGCCTCGTTTTGATGTGAACAGAGGTCATGACCATGGAAGAGTTCTTATGACATTTGTGTGTGTGTGTTTGTGTGTGTCTATATATAAAAGGGTAAAAAAATATACATATGTATATGTTTGCAGGTTTTGGTGTCCTCGGGTGTCTTCCCGTGTAAAAGTTGGGGTGTCTAGGCGACGTTTCGACGAGGTCTCACTCGTCATCTTCAGGCTGGTGCTTTCGGCTTCTTGTTACTGGAACAGAGCTCTGTTCCAGTAACAAGAAGCCGAAAGCACCAGCCTGAAGATGACGAGTGAGACCTCGTCGAAACGTCGCCTAGACACCCCAACTTTTACACGGGAAGACACCCGAGGACACCAAAACCTGCATTCCTGTACCCGTGAAAATCTACGAAAGCATGTATATGTTTGTGTATATACATATATTCTTTTTTGGTGATCACTCATAGCCAAGTAAGATTGTCTTCCATAAACATGGTTTTAACAGTGAGTCCGTAAGTGACTGTGGAGGCCAATTCTGGATCCACACCTCTTTCCACAGTGGGGACATAGGTTTCCAGGCAGGAGTTGGTCACGGTGTGGATTTGCCAAGCATGCCTTCCTCTTAGCATGTTTCTCGCTTGCGGCCTGCGTTCGAGTGTCTTCAAAGCCCATAACGCCCTTGGTAAAGGCTGTTCTCCAATTGAAACGCTCGCAGGCAAGTGTTTCCCAATTATTGGTGTTTATTTTTAAACACAATTTTTAAAAATTTGCCTTGAGACAGTCTTTAAACCTCTTTTGTTGACGACCAGCATTACACTTTCCATTTTTAAGTTTGGAATAGAGTAGTTGGCTTGGAAGACGATAATCGGATATACATACTGTATATGTGTGTGTGTGTGTGTGTGTGTGTGTGTGTATACACACACAGACATATATGTACATATATACATGTGTGTACACACACACACACATATATATATATATATGGTTGGGGGTTGTTGCCCTTCAGATGCTGTGGGACTAAACCTCAGATCATTGGTCATGCTGATGGGAGCTGGAGTCTTAACAGTATATTGAAAGCCACAAGTTCCCCACCACTAAGCTACTGGAATAATATGCTTATAAGGGTTTTAAATAGTAAGATGTGGTACCCACTCTGCTGCGTGTTTTGGTATTGGTAAGTAAAGCGACTGTAGCTCCTGACAGAAACTGATTTTTCTATCCTGACATCAGGGAATCTTTCCCAGACCTACCCAGAGATGCTGAGGATTGAACCTGGGACCTTCTGTATGCAAAGCAGATGCTGCAGGCCTTTCCTTCACAGTTACAAAGCATGAATGTAATTGTGGTCTATAACATATATGGGTTTCCTTTTTCTGTATCGTTTGCCTGCAACAAGAGAGGTCTAAGAGAGCATTGATGAAAATAGTATAACTCTACAATTTATTTACACTCAAATAAAAACAGGCAGCGTTTTTGTGGGACCTTAAAGACTAACACTCTCGTTACAGAATCTACTTCTTCCTGTGCATGAAGTGTTTCTGAACTACAGGAATATAATCCCATTTTCTTTTTTGGGGGAAGAGATAGCAAACATACTGTCAGAAGGAAATGAAATGCACAGATGGTAATAGTTACATTAACAGTAACAGTACATTAACACACACAAAATAAGAGTTGATAACATAGACATTTTGCCATTGGAAAGCTAATTAAGACATGTAGTATGGATTTTTTAAAAAAATCCTTTGATATTGAAACAGTTATCAAGCAACACTTTCAAAGCAGGACATAAAGATTCATGCACACTGAATTTTTCCACCCTTTTACAGTTCCCCCATGTGTGTCAGAGACACTTCCTATAACAATTTTTTAAAAAGTCTTATCAGAGCCAAAACAGCAAAGAAAGGAAATTGAGGTATCTGTTCAGGTGAAAACGTAATGTATTTCTGAATCCAAAGCAATTTCTTTCACTGGAAAAAATGCAGTGGTTTGAAGAAAGGAGAAAAATATATTTTCGTTAGCCAATGTAGCTGTCTTCTGTGGGTTTCTACTAGTATAAAAATCTGGCATTAATTTAAAAATGTTCTTAAAGGAATGCAAAAGCATGATAATAATATCTTCAGTGTTTTCAAGCTAAGAGGAAGATGATTTAGGGAAAAATCTAGTACATGTCTTCACAAGTTTCTTCTCAAGATCCCCAAAGGAAACAATAAATGTAGCTACCTTAACCATTTTATTTTCTTGGGTTTGTAAATTGCAGACACACCTTTCATCACCAGAAATCACTCTTTTTATTTCTTTTACTTCATCATTATTTTGCAGCTACCATGCTGTAATATCAGGATCCTGCTCAAGTGAGGAGCACAAGAAGCTGCTAGTTTGGTATAGTCTTCTCTAACAGACAACACTTCTCCACATTAACTGACCTGATTCTTTAAACGAGTGAGTCATGGACTTTCTTTATGCAAAAGAAATGGGAAAAAGAACAAACAGTGATGACCACTGGAAAGCGAAATAGTTGTAGCGATTATTAATTACGTACCATTGGTGCTAACACAAACATCCTGACATTCGTAAACTGATCAACACACAATGTGTTAACTGTAATCTTGATTAAATCCACAGGTAACAGATTTGAATTGCCTGGTGCAGCAGTATGCTTGCCACTTGAAGGGAAAGGAAAAACTCATGGGAACAAACTGAGCTTGCTGGGAAGGCAACAGGTTTAGAAACTTGCTACTTAAAAGTAACTGTGCAAACAGTGCTTGTGTAAACCCTCAGTGAATATGCACTGTTTCAATAGAGTTTTTCTTCTCTTGAAATGTGCTTCTAAAAACACTTTAAAGTGAAGTATAAAAACATAGTGCAAAAGAAAATCAATCCTCTGTAAGTGAAAATTGACATATTGATATATTTGGTGTAAGATGCTTTTCTTACAGTATAAGGAAGCTTGCAAGACATTTAAAATACAACAACATGGGAAAACGTTATTGGGGTATGGTGGTGGGCAAAGTTGTGTACATTACTGCCCCATTCCTAAGGACCTCTTCAGATGTTCCAGCTGCTACTGGAACAAAAATATTAGGCTTTAAAAAGTCAGAACATCTGAAGACTCAGAGAAACACAAACACATTTATTGCCTCATTTCTTCTTGCATCCACCACCAGGATCCAGAATCTGTGAGAGGCAACAGCCACCTAGATGCAGGTGTCCTGCCCTATGAAGGACTACCATCTGGCATCTTCAGTAGCCATTTCTAGGTCAGGATAATTTCTTCTGATATCTGCTGCAGCCCAGAGATTCAATATCAGAATATTCAGATGTTCTGACTTTCTAAGGCCTGATATTTTTGTGATTCTACTTTGAATCTTTAGGCATTTAGAGGACACAGCGAGGCTGAAGAAAAGTATTTGTGCTTCCTCTTTAAAATATGCTGAGTAATTTACAAGCTCTCCTGATCTCAGTCTTTCTCTCTTTTATATGCACTCTATGGAACATCAGCTGGGGCTTTATATTTATGCTTCCTCTGTTACAAAGACACCAGCATGGCAACTAGAAGACAGTTGTGCTGTATCTCCCCCCCCCTCACTCCTTACCTCCAAAACATCATTCAGTTGAACTCAATGATACTGGCAAAACTTTCTCTTACCTTTACTGAACAGGTTTTTCCAGCCTTTCAGTGGAACTGTTCTTCCCTTTTCAGCATATCTTAGTGCTGTTTGTAAAGAAGAAATCAGTTGTACAGTGGTACCTCGCAAGACGAATGCCTCGCAAGACAAAAAACTCGCAAGACGAAAGGGTTTTTGGTTTTTTGAGTTGCTTCGCAAGACGATTTTCCCTATGGGCTTGCTTCGCAAGACGGAAACGTCTTGCAAGTTTGTTTCCTTTTTCTTAACACCGTTAATACAGTTAAGACTTGACTTCGAGGAGCAACTCATAGCACGCGGTGTGGTAGGCTTTTTTGAGGTTTTTGAAGACTTTGGTGATTTTTGAAGCTTTTCCAAAACTTTTCCGAAACCGTGCTTCGCAAGACGAAAAAAATCGCAAGACGAAAAAACTCGCAGAACGAATTAATTTCGTCTTGCGAGGCACCACTGTATTCACTATCTTACCATTAATGTAATTCTGTCTTCAATGATGTTTTTCCCCCTAGCAGTTTTAAAAGTTGCTCTGAAGCCTTTGTAGTTTAAAGTATTGTGGGCCATATGAGAATGTCTGGACTCAAGAGGGCCAAATTCAGCCCTAGGGCTGTTATGGTGAATTTGGTATATAAATAGGAATTATTATAAGCACGGAGAAATAAGAGTAGCACATGAAGAGGCTGAAATAAACCCATTACACTTTTCTTTGGTGATGGAGACCATGAAGGCTGGGGCAGTTAAGGGTTTCACACACAGACGGTAGACTTGGAGGAAGGTTTTTAAAAGGAGGGAGGAATGAGGTGGCACCATGTCCCTATTCCAGGAGTTGCACATTGGGGAGCAAAAGTGTGAAATAGACCTTTAAAGAGAGCAGGCTATGATAAGGTCAAAATAAAAAGTTATACATAAA